CCGAATTTTTTTTTTTTTTTGAAGGCGGAGTCCTCGTTCTGCCGTTCCCCAGGCTGGAAGTTGCACGTGCCTGGGATCCGTCAAAGCTCACTGCCAAGCTCCGCCTCTCCCCGGCGTTTAACGCCATTCTCGTCTGCCTCAGCCCTCCAAGTAGCCTGGCGACTACAGGCGCGCCCGCCCGCCCCCTCGCCCCGTGCCTAGCTTTTTTTTTTTTTTTTTGGGCCGGGTACCTCCGCGCTCTGCCGCCCCCAGGTTGGGAGTGCCGTGCCCCGGATCCTCCAGCTCACGGTGCAAAGCTCCGCCTACCTGGCGTTCAACGCCATTTCTCACCGTGTCAGTCCGGAGGCTGGGACTACACAAGGCGCCGTACCGTCCGCCGGCCCTAGTTTTGTCTTGGGTATTTGGTTTAGCAGAGACGTAAGGTTTCACCCGTGTAGCCAGGAAATGGTCCTCGATCTCCCTCTGACCCTCCGTGGGATCGCCGCCCGTATCAGCTCCCAACAGTGCTCGGGATTACAGGCTTGAGCAGCCGCGCCCCGGCCTAGTTTTTTATTCGTACCTTTTTTTTTTTTTGTAGTAGGAGACGGGGGTTCACCGTGTTAGCCAGCGATGATCCGATCTCCTGGACCTTCGTCATTGCCGGCCGCTCCTTCGGCCTCCCCCAAAATGCTGGCGATTACACGGCTGGAGCACAACCCGCGCCGCCGGCGAGCGGTCGACAATTTTTATAAAAACAGGCCAGGTATTAGCCTGCGTTTATCTGAATTGATAAATACTAGTAGTTCAGTCTGCTTCCCGCGCTTATCAGTTTTTTCAGGTACCAACAGTACGTTTATGCTTTAACTTATCTCTTTTACCAAAAAAGTTGAGCACCACCAAGTCTCGCGCTCTGTCGCGTCCCAGGCTAGAGTCGCATGATGCACGCTGGCACCATCCTGGCTCACTGGCAATCGCCTCCCCCTGCGGGTTCACGCAGTTCTTCAGGCCTGGCCTCCCCCGGGTAGCTTGGATTGACAGGCACCCGCCACTCGTGCGGGCTAATTTTTTGTATTTATTAGTGAGAAGAAGGGGTTTTCACCAGTTTTGGCCAGGCTGGTCTTTCCAACTGCTGACCTCAAAAGTGATCCACGGCCCTCCCCGCATCCCAAAGTGCTGGGATTGCAGGTGTGAGCCACCGCGCCTGGGTACTAAAACAAAAATTAGCGGGGCATGGTGGCAGGCCTGCAATTCCAGCTACTCGGGCGGCTGAAGCAGGAGAATCGCTTGAACCTCCGTGGCAAAGTTTGCAGTGAGTCGAGATAGCACCAGTGCACTCCAGTCTGGGCGACAGAGTGGGACTCTGTCTCGAATTTGTAGGAGAGCCTTTGATTTTCTGCTCTAGATATATTCTGATTATCTGAATCATGAGACATTAATTTTCTATTTGTATGAGTTCCTGACAACTTTAACTTTCTGATAATCCTCCTTTTTGTAATGTGTTGGCATTTCAATTGAAAATATGATTTCATTGAAATATGCTGTAGTCAAAGTATCTATAAAAAAGATATTTATTAGTCTTAGGAGAAGTGATGTGGTTTGTTTCATTTGAATGATTTTTCTGGAGGTACAGTAAGGTATAGTAACCTTTGACATGAAGCCTAAATAAGACTATAATTAAAAATATTGGAAATTCCTTTGGAGTATTGAATTACTTTTAAAATTGAAAATCTCCTGTTTGTATATAAAGAGCATTATAGTTACCGTAAGCTGGGCTTTACAACCTAAAAAGTAATTGACCAGATTACGCATTATTTTTGCTGGTTATATTGGTTTTGCAAATTGGAAAGTTTTTAAAAATTTTTTTGAATCTATTGCTTTTCCCTTTTGAATAGTAAGCTATTTCAGGAGGCCAGGGAACATGTCTTATCTGAATTAATTGGAAACATTGTGCTAAGTATTTA